ACTTTACGCTGCGTTGCTTACTCAAATCAATGACGCATGGCAAATGTTAGCTGTCAATGTTGTCGATTTGAGTTATTGTTTACGAAGACTTTTTTATTTATCAATCAAATCCTAAAATTTGATATATCTTTTCAAATAAATATCTATATTTATATTCTAAATAAATATTTAATAAAATACAATCCGGTACAATACAGCACTTAAATTTATATATTTTTTGGAAGCATTCAACAGTTCAACAGTAATTAATACTAGCCATTGCAAAACATTACTTCATTCATTTCAAAAATTGACAACAAGCAAATATAGTCTAAATGTGAATGTTTTCTTTGTTATATCGCGGATTTCAAAATAAAACACAATCGATTGATTTAATAATGCGTTTGTTGTTGCTTGAAATTGCCATATTTCATTTTCGATACTAACTGATCTTGACACAATAAAACTAATGATTTGTTTGAATGAAACAATCGCTTTCTGATTGATATTATATTTTTGAATAAATCTGTTCACCTCAAAAATGAATTGCCTGTCGTCAGCAATTCTTTTAAACATAATGAAATTATAGCAATTAAGAAATTCTGTGTTACATCTAAGGCAAGCATGTTTTACCAAAAGTGCCTACTGCAAAAATTTCTGTAGTATACTGATTTGACGATAATTATATCAAATAGCGGAAAATTAATGATAAATTAAACTGGCATCCACATCTTGAGCGATTTGTTTTGAGTTGGAGAATATTCTTTTTAATCTCTCATTGCTTTCTTATCTAACAGTAGTATAGTTTATTTTCATGTGAATGATGAAATCCATGAAGGATGGAAAAAATTTTGCGCCAATGAAACATTGCATGACCCAACTCATTGCATATAATACAGATACAGAGGAGAAACAATTCAAAGAGAACTCAACTGTAGCTGACATGTCAGCTGTCTATATATTATAAATATATTTGATATATAAAATATATAACAAAAACATGACAATTTTTGCTGAAATAAATTTTATGGTTTTTATTTAAATGTCGGTCAAAAGTTTTTTTTTTCTCAATTTTTTGTTTTGTTGAATGTTTTGTTCTTAACGTCTTATTCAATATACCAATACTCATGTCCGAGCAAAACATCTAAACAGTGCTGGAACGTTGGGCGCTCTTCCGGATAACCCCAACATGTGAGCATCAATTGATATCTGAAATTAAAGTTTTCTTTTGATTCATTACTCAAAATAAAAGTAAAATAAAAATCACATACAAATTGTCTGGACAATTTATTGGTCTGTTTAGTCGGCCACCATTCTGTACATACTCCATGACTTCAATATTATCACGACCTGGATATGGTTGCTGACCAAAAGTCATGATTTCCCAGCACAGCACGCCTGTCGAGTAATAAAAGCAATTGAAAAACATGTCTTTTTATTTAAAAGAAAAGTCAAGCATACCAAATGCCCAAATGTCTGATTGTGTTGTGAAAACTTCATTAAATAAACTCTCTGGTGCCATCCATCGTATTGGCAGGGACCTTTCACCATTCACTCGATAATAATCATCTTGGTAAATATCTCGAGCCAATCCGAAATCACCGATCTTGACAACGCGATTATCTGGATCAATCGATGACACTAAGCAATTACGACATGCCAAGTCTCGATGCACAAAATGCAGTTCCTGCAAGTATCTGCAACCAGATGCAATGTCCACGCACATTGTTGTTAAATCCAGTAAGGTTAAAGCCGATGTCATTCCCTAAAGAAATAGTTTGAGTTAATTTCCAAAGAAATGGAGAAATCAAATAAAAAACTCACGTCACACGGTCGATTTCGTCGCAAAAAGTTAAGCAAATCACCGCCTTGCATTAATTCCATAATTATATGAAATGTATCAATTTCAAAACAGACGCCGATCAAGCTGAGAATGTGTTTATGCTTAAAGTTGCTCATCAGCTCAGCTTCTTTCATGAATTCATTTTTCTCTTGTTGTGTGATACCTTTACGAAGTGTTTTAATTGCCACTCTTGTTTTTGTTTCGGAATCAGTGCTACCCAAGAGTCCTTCGTATACTTCGCCAAATGTACCGATGCCAATGAAATTGGTTCGCGTTATTTGATCGCTGCAAATTTGTGGTAAAGAATTTTGCGGCAAAGAAATTTGTAGCTGCGAATTTGTGGCAAGGTTAGTTTCAATATACAGATCTTCTGAATTCATTTCCTCTTGAAAATTCTTTCGTCGAAAACCTAAAATATAAATATTTGTTTTACCAAAAGAAAAATTCATTCTACTCAACTTAATTTTAAAAAATACTCACAGCAAATAAAGCAACCAAGTGCTACGAAAAAAACACCGATCAATGTAGATATAGCAATCAGAAGACGTCCACTTTCTGTTGATGGTGATGAAATCCCTTTCGTTTGTTCGCTCACCTTACTGTAGTCACTCCAACCGTTTGCGTTTCTTGCACGTACTCTGAACGAATAATTAGAAATATCGGCCAATCCCTTGACTACACAAAATGTTTCATTGCCCTTGTAGTATACCGTCCACGATGCTACATTCAAATTCGTTGAACCTGCTGCTTGATTGAGACTACATCCTTCTAAACTATATTCGTCAATGGGAGCCCCATTGTCATTAGCCGGCAACCAAGACACTTGAATATCATTGTTTTGAATAGTGATGCTCGGTGTTTCCATGACGATTGGGCGATCCGTATATGTTAT